GAAGGAAGGTTGGGTAATCTACTTCCCTAGAGATACCACCTCATAAACCCAAGGGGGGATGACTATGAGTCGCAGTCGACTCAAGAGCAGTGAGTTTGGTTTCGGTTTGGAGGATCTGTAAGAATTAGAATTGACTTGGCAGCACATAACAACAACAGAAAACAATGTTTGTTAATGGGTCTCAAAATTTAAAGAAATTAAAAAATAAATAAACTCCATAAATACTCTAGGCATTCTATATCCCCACCTATAATTTTCATTTTATCAAAAAAATTATATAGAAAATACGATTACGATATTCATCTTCCAGACTGAAAATATCAGCCACATAAATGGGCAGAAAACAAGAATGCTATACTGTAGTGGATAGTATGGCATGTTATAAAGTGTTATTTTATATGCAAAGTATCATTTATCTTTTTGAAAAAGTGAAGTTAAGGTAAATATAGCTTTATATAGAAACTGAAATCATAGTAACTCTGGTCATTAGTTGACAAAATCCTATTAACATCTGTCACAGATTGTGGCCATAGTCATCATTGTTGCTATACAGGGAGTCTATAACTAACGACAAAAGTTAAGCTAACAGTCATCTTTTTCCTTATATTTAAGAAATAGCTGAGAACGTCCAGTAAATGATTTTTATATATACATTTATTTTTCTCTTTTATAGGATGTACAGAAAGACTTCTTCTGTGATTGATTTATCATATCCAGCAGCGGTTATAGTAACATTAAAGGTGAAATCATTTCAATTATTTTAGATTTTAAATAGACATCATTTTTAAAACTCTTCTTAAAATGATTGGGAAAAAATGAGAACAGTTCATTGCTGTAGTCTATATGTTTGAATGTAAAAAATACTTTAACCATTTACAGCATTTAATATGCTTGAAATCATGAATCGTTGTACATTTAAATGAGGAATTATTTACATTAACAAACTATATCAATGTCTATTTGTGTGTGTGTATAATGTTATTTCTCTATTTTTTTATAACTTCTAAGTTTATTTAGATGGATCTTATATTCAACTCTGAGATGGCACTTGTGTTTGTCAGAATATAGACAGAAAGATAGATGTAGATAGATAGATTATGGAAGAGTTGTGTTAGATATTTTAGTCAAATATCTTTAAAAGACAAAACTGATTATGAATAACACTGTCTAGAATTTTAGGCTGAGAAAATATAAAATTAAGAAGGGAAACAAAAAGGAGTTCCTCTTCCTTGCCTCTAGCTTCTCCTGTGGCTACCCTATTTATTGTAAGAGGCCCAATAGTTGCATGATATGCGTTAGAGATAACTAGAGTCCAAGCTGGGAATTAGTGAAGGTTGTTTGCTCATTTATTGATCTCCACTCCCTGTGTTTGTGTGTGTGCATTGTTACCAGATACCATACTACAGAAACATTTTGTAGGTTCATCATTCTAAGTTCCATGTTTCTTTTGGTCACTTAATTTGGATGGAAGTCTGTAACTTTATTGCCTGTAACAACTTCATAATGTTTTTTTTTGTTTGTTTTTTTTTTCTGTTTTTAACTAAGACCTCAAAGGATGCTGGCAACAGGAGATACTGGGTTGCTTTATTTCTGATGTATTATACTCCTTTTCTAGTTTATGTCTGAATCATTTTCTTCTTTTTTTTTTTTTCTTATCTGTTTTAAACATCCTCTTTGCTTTTTTTTTTTAATACTCTACTGCATATTAGATGATATCCTTATTAATTTTAAAGCATAGTTCACTTTTTCTTGGATGCTCTTGAATATTTATGTTCTTAAAACTATAATAAAGACAAGTGTAAAACAAATGAAACATTATAGGATACTAATTACTTATTGGTTCTTTGAGAGATTTCACCTTCCTTATTATTTTCTCCATTATGAGGAAGAACATTCTTTTTATTTTGTTTTATACACTTTTGCTTAAACATCAACTAACAAAACAGTTCAGTAAGAGCGTGTTTTGGTTACCTCTAGGGCCGCTCTAACAGAAATTACCACAAATACGTGGCTTTAACACACAGGAGCTTACTCTCTTATAGTTTTGGAGGCTAGAAGTCTGAGCTCTAGAGGCTGGGTAAAAGCCCTTTAACCTTGGGATTCAGCTCTATCTCTTGCCCACTGGAGCTAGAGGTGTCTCTTCACTCAGGCAGCTGCTGGCTGCTGAGGATGACAAGCCCAAAGTGGACAAATAAAATAGCACAGTCCCAATATTACCAAACACCACAGCAGACCACTAATTCAAGTCCATCAATGGTCCCAAGATCAGCAGAAAACATAGCAGGCTGCTGAACTATGACTCGGCTACATGCAAGATTCAAGTGTGCCAAAAGCTGCAGACCATTCCCAAAGCTTCTCCTTGTATACTGGAAGCAGACCACCTCCCTAAAGCAGCTACTCAGCTGCTTGTGGCAGATTCCACCATGGAGCTGATTACCAATCTCATCACAGGGAATAAATACAACCAGCTGCCCAGCCACTCAAAATGAGGCCCAGCCTAGTTGACACATAACCATAGAGAGAATGTAATAGTTTCTCTAAGATGTGGTATAGTAAAACACATGAACCAAAAGTTTGAGGGAGGAAATACTACTAAGAAAATAATATTTTTGGTTAAATAATAATTCTTATTTCCTGGAATATTTCCTTGCCTTTTGTGTGTTCTCAATCTGACAGTGTAAAAGCCAATAATCTGCAGTAGTGTACCAATGTAAATCATCACTTTTTAAAACATTCCCAAGAAATGGAGAGCTAACCTTTTACCCAGTGAGAAATCCCTAGCTGGAACTGTAAATAGCAGCATGTAACAGTCTGAAGTAACTCTTCTGTGTTAGTTTTGGAATTTGATGTAAGATTTCTTGGGCTTCTTTTAGCTTTACTGAGAATAAAATGCCTTCTAATGAAATTTATATAAATTTTTAATCCCCAAACAGATAAAACAAGTGTTTGATCAGGAAGTTAGGGTTCATTGCCAGGAATATAACAAAGACACACAAACAAAACAAAATATATTTCACTTGGTGTTTCCGAGAAATTTAAATGATACTTGGTGGTGTTATTGTTTTTCAGAGTAAGTATTTAAGAGACTGAATACATTTTATCAGATATTCGGCTTAGTTTTAGCATGTGACCTACAGCATGTTTAGTAGGCCCAAAAAAAAAAAAAAGAGTTAAATGGATGAAGTTCTAAACCGCGCCTCAAATTCAAAATTAATGCATAGCTTTAAAGATGCCCACTTACACAGCTCAGTGCTAAAACCACTGTGTGTGTAAATAATAGGCCTTCTTTGTTTGCACTTTCTGATAATTATTAGAACTAACTCTTGGCTATATTAAGATTTTTAAGATTCCACTGATTTATGTCATGTTGGAATTCAAGCTTTACATTAAAGCCTGCATCATGTATTAGGCTGATATTACTTGCTACAAGTCCAGTTGTGTAGACTGCGCTGCAGGATTTCCCCTTGGAATGACTCTAAGCAATATCATAAGGTAGCTGCAGTACTTTGACAGCTCTTCCCACTGTCCTCTTCACTACCTGTTAGGGATAATTTCCTAGGGTACCTGGAAATTTTCCAACAGTCTTGCCTGCTTCCCTTGGGAAATGTCTGAAACACTAAAACTCTTATCCTCCTCTTCAATCAAAACACCCACTTCCTCTTTCTCGCTAATTATCCCCAGAGGAAAGTATAAGTGAGTTAGCCAAGGTCAGAGTGAGTAATAATGTAGTGTGTAGTCTACCTCTCTAGGGTATTTGCATTTTAAAAGAGAACATAAGATACCAAAGCTCTAAACAAATGACTATCTCTTAAGGTAGAACTTCATGCGGTGTGACAGATGGACAGGTGGGAGAGAGATATTGGTCCTGTACTCCCTGTGTCATTCAATGCACATCACCCACATAACTGACATTTCTACCTTAAAATGAAGCTTGTACTGGAAAATGAGTTGACGTGAATTTGAAGAGAGATTAAGAATGAGGGCAGTATTATCTTGTTATCAGGATTATGACATCAATTTTATAACCTTGGCGTTGAGGTGAAGATCTTTGTGCTACAGTCAACATTATGGCTTGATTTTGTGGAACTACGGATGGAAACTGGCCATGTCATATCAGACCTGCTGAATTAAAATCTGACCTGCTGTGTGTACAGTGCCTGATCTTTCCCAGAATTTTTTATAGACAGAAACAAAACTAAATGATATTGTCACCTAAAACGTTTACTTTTTTTCCTACAGGATGTTGATAAATGGTCTTTTGATGTATTTGCCCTAAATGACGCAAGCGGAGAGCATAGTTTGAAGTTTATGATGTATGAACTATTTACCAGATATGATCTTATCAACCGTTTCAAGGTCAGAAATGTGAAACAAAAGTAAAATCCTCCTCAAATTGGTTATCTGGATAAGAATGAAAATGCAAAATGTTGAGTTATTAATCAATTCATTTTAGGACGTTTGTGGTTGGCAGGACACAGAACCAAGGGGGAGAATTCATCACATGATGTCATCATTCTCCACAACTCACTGACATGTAAATATATCCAGCTAGATACCATGAGACCACTACAGCCTCATTCCAACAAGATGCCAACCTTCTCCTGAATCATTAACAGAACACTCATGTAGCGATAGGGAAGTATGTCTTTAAGAAATACGATATGACCTTTGGTGTTCCTAAAACCCAGAATGAACCTGTATTGATAGCTTTGCTTAAACTGAAATAGAAGAGCTTCTAATTAACTTCTTTAAGAGCCACCTAAGCAACAAATTTGATCCTGACTTCTGAGCAGTTTTGCAACCTGTAACTTTCATCATTACTTATGAATCATGGCATTTTTAGAAATAGAAAGTACTGGAAGATGTCATCTATTTTTCATCTCCTTGTGTTACAGATAGAATAAACTAGACTTTGCCAATTATAATTGGAAAATTTTACTTTTATAAGAACTGGATTTCTTCATTCTGGAAGCTATAAAAAATTAAAGACTATAGTATGAGTAAGACCATTATTTAATTTATCTTAATTAAACAGTTGGGGGTTATAATCCTTCTTGGGTCATCTGGGAAGTTGATTAATGATTACAAGTTAATGAACTGTTTTTTTGGTTTTTTTTTTTAGAACAGTCTATATTTAACTTAAAGAAATGACTGCCTGAATCGAAACTCATTACTGTGTCCCATCCCAAACATCCTTGTGTTTATGTTAATTTATTGACATTCTTTTGGTCAAAATATAATCATCAGTATTACTTTCCACAGATTCCTGTTCCTAGCCTAATTTCCTATGCAGAAGCTTTAGAAGTTGGTTACAGCAAGTACAAAAATCCCTATCACAATTTAATTCATGCAGCTGATGTCACTCAAACTGTGCATTACATAATGCTTCATACAGGTATCATGGTAAGAAAGTCTTTGTAACTGAAGTTTGTTAGATTGGAAACCTTGTGTTCCCTTAAATTCCAATTGTCTCTTTAATAAAAGTGTTATTACCAACCAACAGTCCACTTCCATTGACTCAATTCTGATTCATAAAGATACCATAGGACAGAGTAAAACTGCCCCATAGAGTTTCCAAGGCTATAAATCTTTGCAGGAGCAAACTGCCTCATCTTTCTCCTGCAGTGGAGTGGCTGGTGGATTCCAAATGTCAATCTTTTACGTTAGCAGCCCAATGCTTTGACCACTGTGCCATCAGAGCTCTTTAAAATGTTGTCAGTAATTAACAATCCTTTGTATTAATTTTTAACGGTTCATTAGTTATTGGTTATATGTTATTGATAATATGTCAGTGTAAAACAGATACCCAGAGGCAAATCTAAATTTATTGTAAATTTTCTAAAACTTGGAATATAGAACATTTTTGTTTGCTAATGGTGGTACAGTGGTTAAAGTTTTTGACAGCTAACCAAAAGGTCAATGGTTTGGACCCACTAGCCCCTCCATGAGAGGAAGATGAACCAGTCTGCTTCTGTAAAGCGTTACAAGCTTGGAAACCCTATGGGGCAATTTGGCTCTATTCTTTCTATAGCATCATTAGGAGTTGGAATTGACTTGATGGCAGTGGTTTTGTTTTTGTTTTTTTAATTCATTTTTTGAAACTTTTTATTGAGATTTGAGTGAAAGTCTAAAAAGCAAATAGGTTTTCCATTCAACAATTAATATACATTTTGTTTCATGACATTGATTGCAATCCCCACAGTGTTATAGGACTCTTCCCACTTCCTTCCTGCTCCTCATTCATTTTTCTTTCATTCCTATTCTTTCCTGTCTTCTGAGCTTTATCCTGGGCTTATGCTCCCCTTTCCAGTGATTGACTGTTCCAAGGAGTACCTTCTTGGTGTTACTTTTTAATTGGATTGTTTTTCTTTTTGTTGTTGAGGTGTTAAAAGTATTCTATAAATTTTAGTTTGTTGTCCAATATGTCATTGCCAAAAGTTTTTTTTCCCAGTCTGTATATTCTCTTTCTACTCTTTTGGAGAAGTCTTTCATGCATGTAAATGTTTAATTTTCGTAAAGTCCCAGTTATCTAGTTTGTCTTCTGTTTGTATATTTTTAGTTATGTTTGATAACTTATTTATGTCATGTATGAGGGCCCCTAGATTTTCCACCAGATGATCTTTATAGTTTTAGGTTTTGCATTTAGGTCTTTGCTCTATCATGAGTTACTGTGTGTGTATGGTGTGAGGTATGAATCATGTTTCATTTTTCTGTAAATTGATATCCAATTTTGCCAGCACCATTTGTTTAAGAGACTGTTTCTTCTACATTTTGGGGGTTTCAGCCCTTGGTGAAAGATCAGTTGTCCATAGGTATATGGATTTCCTTCTGGATTCTGAATTCTGCTCCATTGGTCTATGAGTTTGTCGTATGAGCATCACACTGTTTTGATTACTATAGTTGAACAGTAGTTGAGATCAAGAAGTGCAAGGCCTCCTACTTAGTTCTTCTTCTTCTTTAGTAGTGCTTTGCTCATCCAAGGTCCCTTTCTTTTCCATATAAATTTGATGATTGTTTTTTCCATCTCTGCAAAGAGTGATAGTGGAATCTAGATGAGGATTCCTTTATATTTGTAGATTGCTTTGGGTACTATTGACATCTTCACAGTGTTAAATCTTCCTACTATTAGCATGGTATATTCTTCCATTTATGTAGCTCTCTTTTGGTTTCTTGTAGTAGTATTTTTAAGTTTTCTTTGTACGTCTTTTGTATCTCTGGTTAGCTTTATTCTTAACTACTACTTCTTTCATTTGGCTATTGTCAATTACGGGTGCTCTGGAGCCCCCCAGCCACTCCTCGGAAAGAAGATGGGGCAATCTATTTCCGCGGTGATACTGCCTCAGAAACCCAAGGAGGGGTCTTGGGTCGCTATGAGTCAGGTTCGACTTGATGGCACATAACAACAACAACATTGTCAATTACATTGTTTTTCTGATTTTCTTGTCAAAGTTCTATTTGGTAGTGTAGAGGAATCCAACCTATCTTTGTGTGTTGATCTTGTACCCTGCCACATTGCTAAATCCTTCTACTAGTCAAGTAGTTTTCTTGTTGAGTTCTGGGATTTTCTATGAATAGGATCATATCATCTCCAAACAGAGAGAGTTATACTTCTTCCTTGTCAATTTGTATGCTTCTTATAATTTCCTTTCTTGTCTTATTGCTCTGGCAAGACTTCTAAATCAATATTGAGTAGGAGTGGTGACAAAGGCCATCCTTGTCTAGTTCTCCTTTGCATGGGGGATCTTTTCAGTCGCTCTTCATTAACAATTATGTTGGCAATTGATTTTGTGTATATGCCCTGGGCAATCTACTTCTATAGTGATACCACCTCGGAAACCCAAGGAGGGGGTCACTATGAGTTGGGGCTGACTCCACGGCACATAACAACAACAACAAGCCTTTTTTTTAAATCAGGAATGGATGTTGAACTTTGTCAGATGTCTTTTCTGCATCAACTAATATGATCATGTGTTTTTTTTCCCTTTGTTTTATTTATTTGGTGGATTATGTTGATTGTTTTTTAATGTTGAATTGTCCTGGCATACCTGGTATGAGTACCATTTGGTCATTTTATATATATATATACACACACACATACACACACACTTTTTAACATGTCATTGGATTCTACTGGCTAGTACTTTGTTGAGAATTTTTACATCAATATTCATGAGGGATATTTGTGGGTAATTTTCTTTTTCAGTGACGTCTGTGCCTGTTTTGGGTATTAGGTTTATGCTTGCTTCATAGAATGAGTTCAGAAATATTTTAAACTTTTCTATATTGTGGAATAGTTTGACTAGAATTGGTGTCAGAATTGGTGTCAGCTCTTCTATGAATGTTTGGTAGAGTTCACCAATGAAGCCATCTGGGCCAGGACTTTTTTAATTGGGAGTTTTTTAATGACCTGTTTAATTTCTTCTTTTGTGATGGATCTATTCAAATTTTCTACCCCAGATTGTGTTAGTTTGGGTAGGTAGTCTAGAAATTTGTCATTTCTTCTAAATTTTCAAATTTACTGGTGTACGATACTTCATAGTATTCTGTTATTATCCTTTTCCAGTTGATTCTCCTGTGACATCACTTATTTTTTATTTGTGTTATTTGCATCTTCTCCTTCTTTTTCTTTATTAAATTTGCCAGTAGTTTGTCGATTTCATGAATCCTTTAAAAAAACCATTGAGTCATGTTGACTCTTTCTATTGTTTTCTCTTGTCTTTTTATATATTTCTGTTCTAATCTTTATTACTTCCTTTCCTCTGGTGACTGTAGCTCTTTGTTGTTGTTGTTCTTTTTTAATTGTTGAAGATGTTGAGTTAAGGTATTGATATTTCTTCTTTTTTGATCTGTAAGTTTATTGCTATAAATTGTCCTCTGAGCACTGCTTTTGCTGTACCCCAAAGATTTTGGTATGTTATATTTTCATTCTTGTTTGATTCAAGGAATTTTTCATTTCATTTTTTATTTTGTCTATTACCCAGTAGTTTTCAAGCTGAGTGTTATTTAGTTTCCATGTTGTCTTGGGTCCCTAGTGCTGCTATAACAGAAATACCACAAATGGATGGCTTAACAAACAGAGATTTATTCTCTTACAGTTTAGGAAGTTAGAAGTCTGAGTTCAAAGTGTTAGCTCTAGGGATGGTGGCTTTTTGTGCCTCAAGCAGATGCTGGCAGGTGAGGCTGATGAACCCAAGATCCACAGGTAAAATAACACAGTCCCAAGATCAGACAACATAGCAGGCCACTAGTTCTAGTCCAGGAATAATCACAAGATCAGCAGGCAGTGAACCACTGAGATGAAGACTCAGCCAAATACAGGATCCAGATGAGCCAAAATCTAGACACCTTTCTCAGAGTCTCCTTATACACTGGAAGCAGACCACACTCCAAAGGCAATTACTTAGCTGTTCATAGCAGATTCTACCTTGGAAGTGATTATAATCTCATCATGGGGAATAATTACATCCAGCTGCCCAGCCACTCAAACCAAGGTCCAGACAAGTTGACACACAACTTAAACTATCACACATGTATTTGATTTATATTTTCCCCTTTGTTCTGCCTGTTGTTAATTTCTAACTTTATAGTGTTGTGATCTGAAAGCTAGGAGCTCTGGTGGTGTAGTACCTAGGACATTTGACTGCTAACCAGAGGGCTAGTGGTTCAAACCCACCAGCCACCAGGAAGGAAGGTTGGGCAATCTACTTCCATAGTGATACTGCCTCGGAAACCCAAGGGGGGGTGGTCACTATGAGTTGGATCCACCTCCACGGCAGTGAGTTTAGTGTGATGTGAAAAGATGCATTGTAGAATTTCGATGTCTTTAAATTTATTGAAGCTCGCTTTGTGACCTAACATTTGTTTTTTATGGAGAATGTTCCATGTGTGCTGGAAAAAATGTATATTATGCTGTTGTAGGGTGAAATTTCTGTATATGTCTATGAGGTCAGATTGGTTGACTGTGATGTTTCAATACTCTTTTAGTAGTGTTTCTTTCTAGTTATTCTTTCCTTCATTGAAGTGGTATATTAAAGGCTCTTACTATTAATAGGGAGTCATTCATTTCTCTTTTTAATTCTATTAAAGTTTTATTTATGTATTCTGTGGCTCTTTCATTGGATGCATAGATATTTATCATGGTTATGTCCTATTGTTCGATAGAGCCTTTCTTTAATCATTATATAATGTCCTTCCTTGTCTCTTATGCTAGTTTTTGCCTTCAAGTCTATTTTATCAGATATTAATATTGTCACTCCTGCTCTTTCTGGGTTGCCATTTGATACATATATTTTTCCATCCTTTGATTTTTAACTTATTTTTGTCTTTGTGTGTAAAGTGTGTCCATTGTAGACAGTGTATTGATGGGTCATGTTTTCTGCTACTCTGTGTCTCTTGACTGGTAC